AATCATTACTATCATTATTTATTGCAGCTGGTTCACTGTATGCTCAGTCAGTTCAGTTTGAGGTTCATAAAAGAATTGAAGGTACCAATGATATACTGTCAGTAGTGGTACCTCAAGAATTAAGAGGAAGGAGTGAAGTAGTTATATTCCTAGCAGACAGACCTATTAAAGGTAATGGTATGTCCCATAACTATCACATGATTATACATGTCATCTATGTGTACATGTTGATGTGGTTTTTGTTCCAGAGGTTGTTTCTCTTGATTCTTTGTTGCCGTCTTGTTTCATTGAGCTTCATAAGCAACAGTTGATGTTAACTCCATGGGAGCAGATACTTAAATCAGCTCAAAATGTGCTCTTCAATGAAGAACTGTTTGCACAGGTATAATACTGTACTATAATAATTAATGTATTTGTATTAATTTGGTTTAGATTATACAATCATTTGTGATCAGGAACTTGTATTATATAATGTGAAACTGCACAAGAGGAAAGGTTAGAGAGATGTAACAAGATTACTAGAATATACAAAGTTTTACTAGGTTATGACTAGTGGGTGGGTCATTGAACCTTATCGCTATAAAGAAAAACTACTCACTCAAGTCATGTATCTTGTGCAGGGGGTGTGATTGTGGGTAGAGTCCAACATGACGTACATTGAATAGGTTGATATGGGAGGAGTACCAGCAACACTGGTTAATATTGTGTCAAGACGTCAGCCATTAGCAGTTGCATATTGACGTGATTATTTAGAAACAACTAGTTTAAATTTAAATAGAAATGGAAGAGAGAGCAGACCCAGTTTATTATCAGGTACTGATTCACCTAGTGATCTAACTATGATGTATAAAACATACTTTTTTGTTCTCAAAATTTTGAATGAAATTAATCTATTAATAACAATAAGTAAAGAGATAGAAACAAGAGGGAGGGAGAGGGAAGAAGGGAGGGATAGTGTATGTCTGTGTATGAAAGCAAAGGGAAAAGAGATAGAAAGTAACAGAACATTATTTCATACTAAAAATTGTGAGCTTACATGTATTTTTAGTTTATTGCTGTTTTATTGAACGATTAATATTTTGTTATACATTTGTTGTTATATTCAGCAACATAAATGCATCCATCTTGATCCAGTGCTATGCCCACTGGATAAGATAATCCTGAGACTAATTTGACTTGTTTCCCATCAGGATTTAATACATGAAGGTAGGAGTCACCAACATACCGGTAATAAACTGATACAAAGATATATCCTTCATCATCAATAGCAACAGCTTGAGGATAATTGAAGTTACCAGTTGGATTATTGTATGTATCAAGATGAGTTTTACCATCAGGAGAGAAGACTTGAACATGATGTTGATCACAAATGGTAACGTGTATCTTTCCTTCATTTCCAACTGCTACATCAGATGCTTTACCATCACATTGTATGACTTGTACAAATGTACCGTCTTCTTTAAACACTTGTACTCTTTTGTTGTTGTAATCAGCTACTAATATATTACCTTTACCATCAGTAGACATACCTTCAGGATTAGAGAATTGTCCATTTCCACTACCTTTACTACCAAACTGACCAATAAGCTGACCAGTAGTAGCTGAGAAATACTGCACACAATGAAGATTATAATCAGACACATAGAGCCTGTCTCTTACCAGCAATAAACCCCATGGAGAGTCAAACTGTCCATTACCATTACCTTTAGATCCAATCCTTCTTACTGCAGTACCATCCTCACTAAATACCTGAACAAACCCATCATTGCAATTACCAGCAAATACTTCACCATTAGTATGAACAGCAACACCATCGGTACGATTCCCCACCTGAAAGGATCTCTGGTTAGTTAGTGTGGTATAGTCTCTTGATACTTTTACCGACAGTTGATAAGGACTACCTTTAATATGGTGACCTCTTATAGTCACTGATAGTTCATATCCACCAATACTTTGAGGTGTGCATGATACAATGGCTGTGTTGTTATCATTAACTATAACAACTCTACCCTCCTCTTTACTACCATCGCTTTTGATAAAGGAAGCCTTCAAATAGCTTGCTGCTTTATCAATTCCTGCTGGTAGAGCCACTTTGAATTTCCTTTCTTTCTCTACTGTTGCCATTGGAATAGCCAACCCACTATCAATGGAATAAAGTGATGGCTCAAGCTGATCAAACTCAAAAACACTTCCAAACTTATTGATTTCTTTACTTAAAAAAGGCAAATCTAGACGTGTTAAAATGGCTCCTTTGTCTTCTATTTCTAGAGGTAGTTTCTTACACTCTTCAATGCATTCCTCTAGTTGATTGGTGATTAGCTTCTTAACACTGAGGACTTCACCTGGATCAGTACGCTCACTCACTGATGATGCAAGATGACGACCATGAGAAACCTGTTTTACCAGTTTACAAAACCCATCCAACTGCTTCTCAACTGAATTCCTTTTAGCACTAGCAATCTTTTCTGTCTCCATTAGTAGATCATTGCATCTCTTATCTAAAGCAGCTTTAAGCTCTTCAAACGTTTCCTTGATTTCCTGCCTTACTTCTTCTTTACGTGTTGCTATCTGCTCTAGCATCTTCTCTCCATTAGCAATAGCTTCAGTAACTGGAGGAATGACTCCATCACAACTAGCAACACTTTCCTTTAATGCTTTACGCGCTGTTTCACCTACGTCAATGTAATCATCATAAGCATGATCCTTATGCTTAGTAGGCAGGCAATTGAGGCAGGTCATTATTTCACAATCATTGCAGTAATATAATAGCTCTGATCGTGGGTGTCGTGGGCAGTAGACTGGCTGCTGTGCTGTGATAGGCAATTCTTCAATGACGCTCTCCTTTCCCATGTTAACCAGTTTATGTTGATTCGTGCTCTTTATTCTCTTGTGCGCTGTTGTGCAGAAATCGCATAGAAACAGCCAACACTCGCAGCAAAATGTGACAGCTGTATCGTCACTGCATTGCTCGCATAAGGTGCTTTCTTTCTTGCTCATTTTATCTTTAACGGATGCTTCCCTCACTTGCTGAGCTAGCCAAATGTTTTGAGTGAGGCCTTCAATTTTACCATCGGGTAAATTAACGCTAGTGTCACACGTTGGACACTTTAATGAGGTATCAGCACTACCTTGCTTCTCTTTAGCTTTTATTAGACACTTCTTACAGAATGAGTGAAGACAGGGAAGCATGAGGGGGTCAGTGTAATACTCTGAACAAACCTCACAAGTCATAGTGATAGCTGGACTTGTATTTTCTGCCATTTCCTATAAAGAAAATAAATCATCACGATACACTGACTGAAGTATGTTACTTTTAAGAAGTTTTC